CCATGAAACCAGAAATGCCAATCAGAAAGGATATATGCACCCATATGTTCATAGCAGCACAATTCACCGTAGCTAAGATCTGGAAACAGCCTAAGTGCCCATCAGTAGATGAATGGATTAGAAAACTGTGGTACATCTACATGATGGAATACTATGCTGCTCTAAAAAGGAAGGAACTCTTACCATTTGCAACAGCATGGATGGAACTGGAGAGCATTATGCTAAGTGAAATAAGCCAGTCAATGAAGGAAAAATACCACATGATCTCGCTTATTCATGGATAATTGAGACCATTATAAACTTTTGAACAATAATAGATACAGAGGCAGAGCTGCCTCAAACAGATTGTCAAACTGCAGCAGGAAGGCCGGGGAGGGTTGGGGGGCAGGAGGTAGGGGAGTAAGAGATCAACCAAAGGACTTGTATGCATGCATATAAGCATAACCAATGGACATAAGACACTGGGGGATAGGGGAGGCTAGGGGACTGTCTAGGGCGGGAGGAAAAAATGGACACATAAAGTAATACCCTTTGTAATACTTTAAGCAATAAAAAAAAAAATTTATAAAAAGACCAATTTTTCGTATTGACTTTTTTTTTCTGACAGATCTATCCATTGATGTCAATGGGAAGCTAAAGTCCCTAGCTAGGACTGTGTTAATTAGTTTTAAAATGCCAATAACTGCATACCTATCAATAATCACTTACAATATAAATGAGTTAACTGCTTCAACCAGAAAACGCAGGGTAGCTAAATGGATATGAGAACGATACCCATAATTATGCTGTGTAAATGAGACCCATTTCAGATGAAAGTAAAGGGTTGGAAAAAAAGTTATTTCATCTCTACCTTTGGGCCCCAAAGACACTACTCCGCAGAGAATTTTGCTCTGGTGAGAGCTCTAATCTTGGACATTGTACATATAATAGGTATGAGGATAACCATGCTCAGAGTTAGCTGACCCATGTGGAAGCTCTGCCTTTTAGTGAAGTCAGCATGTAAATAGTTTTTCATTCCCCAGAAGTTTGTTTTGGAAGGAAAAGTAGAAGGAGGCTTTCTGTATTATTATCAATGGCCCATTAATGAGATTACAGAGACTACTAAATTAATAACATTCATTTGACAATATACTCCCAGAACACACAGACCTCAAAGATCACAACTTACTATCAATATATTCTGTTGAAAAATACATTAATTAAAATTTCTCCGAAAAAAAAAATTTCTCTCCCACAGTGTTGGAAGGTATCTTATGTTATCAGGTGCCTACCCATGGGTGGACATCTGTGTCTGTTTCTGACACTTCCATCATCTACAATAGAAATTAGACTTCAAAAATGAACAGTCAAAAATTAAGTAGACAGCCATCTGAAAACACTGGTGTGGCCTATCAAATGAATGTTACTGCTAATAGTAGCAGTAATTAATAATAACAATAGGATTCTGTCAAGCTTACATATATGTATCAGCTATTAATATTACTGAAAGTATATGCCCTTAAACTATAAGAAAATATACTAAACACAATATATAATAAGTAAAACAAAACCTGAATCATAATAACAAATTTAATCTCTTGTGCCATACCAATGTTGGTCAGTTATTGAGCATAGAGTTAGGAACTGTGAAGTGAGGGTTCCATTCCAGGTTGGTACACATACCAGGGTTATGGGCTCCATCCCCAGGTAGGGGCATGCAGGATACAGCTGATCCACCTCTCCCTCTTCTTTCCTCTCTGAAATCAATAAAAATCTATTATTTAAAAAAATTGCTTGTTATACTTAATAGAGGCCTATAAGACTTGACTGCCTCCCATTTACAGTATTTTCACTTTACAAAAAAAGAAAACTGGCCCTGACTGCCATCCAAGGTTACAGTCTCCAACCCCAATGGTCCATTATTTATGAAGAAAAACTAAGACTGAGCCTTCCCACTACCACGGCACTTCATTATCTTACAAAAAGTTGGCTCCTCAATACTTCCTTTGGGTTGATTATCCTAAAGGGAATGTGTGCATGAAAAGGGGACACATGCTACCTTAACAAGCTCATTGAAGGCCTGCATGTCAGTCTTTCAAAGTCAGAGACCTAAAGTAACCAGAAAGGATGGTCTGAAATGAAAATTGTTTTTAAAGCAGTTTATAGCAGGTAGTCAGGTCCTAGAC